CTCGAAATAACATGTAGATCCAACCACTAGGATTAATTATTAAGTAATAAATATATAATGGATAATAAAAAACAAAAAAAATGTTTTTACTTGTAATAAATATTATTAGCTCTTAAATTATTATCAGTAAATAATTATAAAATAAAAAATATAAATAGTAAATTTTAATATTTACTTGATAAATTACCTTTTGCTGGGTTATCATTCTTCAAAAACTGAATATGTTATCTAAAACTCAATAAATAATTTTATATTATTTACTAATATAGCTCCTCAAATAAAAAATATTTAAACTTAAAGTTTTCATATGTATATAAACACACACAAGCATGCACACTGAAAATTTTAATTTAATTATATAAATGGTAGTATTTAACTCAACTCTAGGTGTTTTATGCTTAATATCAAGTCAAATAATCACCAAACCCCGAAAGGTTAAAACTTTTTTATAAAGCCTTGTCTTTATATTATTCACCATCACCTCGCATGGATCACAACACAAGTGTATTTATTGTGGTTGTTGTCTGTGCAAGTAATCCATCCCATTAATATTATGGTGCTTAGTTGGCTTTTAGTATCATATATTCCATTTTGTTTTTATTTTTTCAATTGACATGTGATTCATTTCCTTATACGATACTTTACCATGCTCATTGATCGGCCCTAATAGAGATTTTTCCTAATTGCTAGGATGGAGAACGTTCTGTCTAGAGCTAGAAGATTAAATGCAGCGGCCCAATCTCGCAACCTCAAGATTCGTTATGTGTGTGGATATAAATGGTTGGTGGCAGCCATGGTTAACAAGGTTATAGTCAAATGGTGAGTGTCTAACTTGCCCACCATTGTTGAACACTACAAATCTTTTAGTTGAAGTATGTAAAGCCATTTAATTAGATGGTATAATTGATGGGATTTGAATGGGAAATGAGTTGTAATAGATGAAGTATGAATAGAAGATAAATTGTTAGGTATATATTCCTTTTAAATTTATAATCATTATACCCTCATTCTTGTTTATAAATAGGCAATGCATTCAAATCTATATACACATCAGAATAGAGAGAAGAAGAAGAGAGTGAAAAAAGAGTAATTCTACAAAATTATAAAGTATTTGTGATAGAATAAGTGAAATATTTTCTCCTAGTAATAGAGAGATTCTTCGTTGCAGACCACTACTACCCACCTATCCTAGAATTGGGTGTCCTTGCAAAATTAAAAAATGCATGTATTTGTGTATGAACAGGAAATAAAATGTGTTGAAACAGTAAAGTTTAAATAAACAAAAACAAGTAATCGAACAATCAAACAAACAAAGCTTAGTCCGACCAAACAAGGCGTCCCCAGTGGTGTTGCCATTTTGTTGCACGTCGGAAAATCCGCGCTGCATCGGCTGATAATTTTTTTTTTTTTTGTTATTATTTGTGTTTTGTTTGGTTCTTTGGAGTCGCCACCTATTATTATGGTTACTAAGAACCTATGGTCTGCGAGAGTCTGAGTAAGGGACTGTTGTGTAAGGGAAAGACGCATCACTCCCAGTGCACCCTACCTTAGGTAAGCTGCATTATTTGTTTGATTGTTTTTCTAGATTGAGTTTCTATTCGTTAGTCTTTTCTAAGATTCAAGGCAGATCTCCTTTGTGAAGGAGTCTCTACCTCTTTGGGTTAAATCCTAACCATTCTAAAGTCTGAATTTTAAAATTATCTTTATTTACACCTTGTATTTTTAATACCCGAGGGTGTACTTTATCATGTAATTTTACTCCCCACAAATATTAAAGTCTGCATTTTAATCCTAAAAAAAAGGGTTAAGAAAAGGAAAAAACGATTTTGATATTTTGGTCAGACCTTAACAGATAATCATAAAACTAGTTGTGATATCTATTTTTCGGATTTTTAAATCGTGAAAAAGATGTAATTTTTTTTATTTTGAAACATGCTTGAAAAATTCTTTAGGATTTGACCGTATGTAAATAAATATTTTTGTTTTTGAATATTTAAGAGAAAACCGGGCATTTTAATAATGGACTTGTATCTTAGCATGTAAGTATACAATCCAATATTAAGCAAACTTGGTAGAAAAATATTTAAGAAAATTACAAATTTTTTGAAATGATTTTTAAATTTTTTTGATTTTTTTGATTTTTTTTGTTTATATATATAATATAATATAATATAAATTATTAAATATTAAAAATATATGGGTTCGGCTCATAAAAAGTAGATCAAAATCAGCCCAAAATGGATAAATCGATGTTGGCCAAGATTTTTGGTTTGGGCTGTTTGCTGTTGGATCTAATTATATTGCTGTTTGATTACAGAGATTGTTACAAATGGTACGTAGAGATTCAAATCAAATGGTGGTCTAATTCTGTTTTCAAGGTTTTTTTTTTTCATGAAAGGAGTATAAATTGGAGAAGGTATTAAAATAAAAATACTAATTTTATTCCATCTTTTACTAGGGAATAAGGAACAAGACTGAGTGGGTATTTGGGAGTGCTTTTTTAAAAAAGTTTTCAAAAAAATTTAAATTTTTTTATTTTAAATTAATATGTTTTTGATGTCTTTAAATTATTTTAATATGTTGATTTTAAAATTAATTTTTAAAAATAAAATAATATTATTAATATATTCTTTTAAGTAAAAAATATTTTGAAAAACAATCACTATTATATTCTCAAACATATTATAAATATATTATGGATTGTTGCAAACATGTTATGAGTGTATTATGAATTGTTGCAATATATTAATGATTTTACTCTTTATAATTGCAAGGGAAGGGCAAAGTTTTGGGAGCAAAATGGTATTTTCATGGGTTAAAATGGCATTATAATTATACAGGGTAAATCAATCTTTTCATGTTTTTATTATGTAATAAAATTATTAATTTATCTTTTAAAAACAAAAATTATAACCTGGTGTTTTGGGTTTTTTTTTTGAGTTTTTGTTGAAGAATGTAATTACTTAGCTATCGTTGCACTATTGTTTTTCTTGAACTTGCATGCGCCGCCACCAGCACTACCCACGCGCACGACGCGCTTCACGCGTCTTCCTCGCCGTTTCCTGCAACTCGGCTCGCCACGTCACCAGCCACGTCAGCCGTTCGGCACAGTCAGCAACCACGTCACCTGCAACATCAGCAATCTGACCAGTCAACCTGCCACGTCAACTAACACGTCATCGTTCGCGTCACCATCGTCACGTAAGCTAAGAATCTTCGTGGACCTGCCACGTCAGATTGGGTGGACCCTACATTGCTTACGTGTCTGACACGTCAGCTCAGCCACGTCACCATATCTGGGTTTTGATCCGGTGTGGCGTAGCAACTATTCTGCCTGCCACGTGGCTTCATCTAAAAAATAAAAAATTCCTTTAAATAAGTATAAAATCGAACATACAAGGAAGCAAATTCAGAATTCCTAATCTGATGGGAAAATAAACATAAAATCTAAAATTAAGGTTAAAAATTCAAAATTAAAGAGGGAAATAATGAAACTAAATTGAGCAGCATCTTGTGAGTCTTTTTGAAATGACTTCTTGATGTGAGCCAGCAAAGCCAGCTAGCCCGAATCTCTTGGGATCTCATGTAGAGCTTGGCCCTATCCCACTAATCTATAAAAAGATCCGCATTTGCATTTGACTGTTCAGAACTTCCAGTGACACATTTGACAAATTTTTGTTCAGTGTGTTGAAGGCCTTTTACTTGTTGTGGTCTGAGATTGATGGGAGCAAGTTCAGAAAAGGGCAACAATTGAACCACCCTACAGGATTTCAAGCTCACACTCTGTCACTTTTCTTAGAGTTGACTGTTGGATCTAATTATATTGCTGTTTGATTACAGAGATTGTTGCAAATGGTACGTAGAGATTCAAATCAAATGGTGGGCCTAATTCCGTTTTCAAGGTTTTTTTTTTTTTTAATGAAAGTACTATAAATTAGAGAAGGTATTAAAATAAAAATAAAAATACTAATTTTACTCCATAGAATAAGTGGGTGTTTGGGAATGCTTTTTAAAAGTATTTTTTAAAAAATTTAATTTTTTTTGAATTAATATATTTTTAATGTTTTTAAATTATTTTGATGTGCTAATTTCAAAATTGATTTAAAAAAAAAATTATTATTAATATATTTTTTTGAGTGAAAAATACTTTAAAAAGCAACCACAATTATATTTTTAAATATTATGGATTGTTGCAATATATTGATGATTTTACTCTTTATAATTGCAAGGGAAGGGCAAAGTTTTGGGAGCAAAATGGTATTTTCATGGGTTGAAATGGCATTACAATTATCTAGGGTAAATCAATCTTTTCATGTTTTTATTATGTAATAAAATTATTGATTTATCTTTTAAAAACAAAAATTATAACCTATAGGCAAGGGTGTTTTGGGATTTTTAGTTTTTGTTGAAGAATGTAATTACTTCGCTATCGTTGCACTATTGTTTTTCTTGAACTTGGACCTAGGGTGTTTATATTATTTCACTTCGGCTTTCATGTAATCGTCAATTATAGTTAGGGGCTTTGACTTTCCTCCACCCATCTGGCATTCATCTATTTTATATCATTTAAAACTTTTACTTTGTGCTGTGGTAAAACAAATCAAAATGACTAAGATGTTGATTACTATATATTCACTACGATAGATATGATGGTAACTACTATTATCGTGTCAGATGAGCTCAGCAATGTGTAGTGGAAAGGAATGGAAACTGAAATACATGGAAATTCATCTTCTTTTCTTGACAGAAAACCAATCCACCGGATCTATAAATAATTTTAATCTTCTGGCCAACATCCAAACAATAAAAAAAATTAATTTAAAATAAAATAAAAATAACAAAACAATAGTCCAACGGCAATGATAATCATGCTCTGAAGCTGCTGGTTCTGGTGGGTTGGGCCTTTTCTGCTCAATTAAAGCTGACTAACCGAAGCTGGTTGTCGGGACTTGGGACCTTAGATTTGAGACAACTTGTTTTTTATTAGAAATGACAGAAGGCCAACTTCCCTCTCTACGTCAATCATCAAAGTTATTGTTGATTCGACGAAGATACAATTCTTTTGATGGGGATTTGCTGGAGCCGGACTTCTGATAAGTCAAATCCAACCCCTGTTGACCCCCCTCCTCCCTCAGATGCTGCCCCTGCCCCTGCCTCATTCTCTGACCCAGACGCAGCTCCTAGCTCTGAAGGGCATCTTGATGGTTAGTTTCCGACCATTAGTTTAACTCAATCCTGTTACTTATTGTTGTTTTGGTTTGTTTTTGAAACTGTTAGCACTTCAATCATCTGTTATTCATAAACTTATTAGTTCAACTATCTCATTAGTAAATCCTTCAATTAATGCTCGGTTTAATATTGCAACTAATATAACCAGATGATACATCTTTCGGGGGTAGCAATGTCTCCGGAAGCAGCTGGCTCTCTATGGCAACCACCAATTTAACGACGTGGATGTATCAAGCAAGCGGTGCTATTGCAGCTATTTGGGGCAATGTCCCTGATGACAACGAATTCCTAGTTTCTGTAGATGATGAGGCCCTTCCGGATGTGGGATCTGGATCAGACTCAAAGTTAAGAGCTTTCACATTTGAGCAACTGAAGGCAGCAACTTTGAATTTTCGTAGCAATATGGTACTGGGAGAAGGTGGTTTTGGAAAGGTCTATCAAGGTTGGCTCAAGGAGAAGGTAGCATCTCAGGGCACAAGGAAAAGGCCCATTGCTGTCAAGAGATTGGATTCCAACAGCAAGCAAGGATATCGACAGTGGCGGGTAATTCTGTTTTGTTGTTTATCTCTTGATGTGCCAACCTTTAGGTTTCTTCATTTGCACGTTTAGCTCAGATTGAAACACTTGGTTTGATGGGTCTTTTGCCTTGGTTGATAGATAGCTTAGCTGCTAGTTTCTTTCTAAACTACTTATGATCAAATCCTGTTTACAAATGCGATTTATAAGAACGAAGAAATTGGTAACAACAGTCCTTAGAAAGGGCATAATTGTTAGATACTAATTCGGTAGCCATTTTTCTGGTGCAGACAGAGGTGGGTTTCTTGGCAAGGCTTTCTCATCCTAATGTTGTAAAGCTGTTGGGATACTGTCGAGAAGATGAGGAGCATGTTATTGTTTATGAATTCATGAAAAAGGGCAGCTTAAATTACCATTTGTTTGGAAGTAAGAACAAGCAATGAATTCTAGAGTCCTAGTCTATGATCCCAATCGTGTGTTCTGTAGATGAAATAAACTCATTTAGTTCTCTTGCCCTCCATTTTATACTCCTGCAGAGGGCTCTGATCGAGTGCTTTCGTGGGAGACAAGGCTTAAGGTTTTAATAGGAACGGCTCAAGGCCTTGCTTACTTGCATACAATGGAGAAACCGATAATTTTCAGAGATTTCAAGACCTCAAATATATTGCTTGATGAGGTAAAGTTCTTTATAATCTGCATTATCAACCAACACGATATGACTAACTCATTCAATAAAGACAGTTTCATGATGTGTATATTTTCTCGCCATCTTCACCCGAAAGTTTTGCTTCATGTTGATCTATTTTCTTCAAAAATCCCCTTCCCTGCAAAGTTCAATCTTAACCACTAGCAACCGTGATTCGCCCTGTCATTGGTGGCAGAGGGAAATGCCGAACGAGCAAAGTCTTGCTTGAGAGTTGGCAAAAATATTTAAGAACGTATTATAATATGATTCATAAGACATTAAGTTCCTCCTACATCAAATCTTCTGCAGTCTTACACTCCAAAGTTATCGGATTTTGGCTTGGCAAAATGGGGACCTGCAGACGGTGAATCGTATGTATCAGGACATGTTATGGGCACAATTGGCTATGCTGCTCCTGAGTATGTTGCTACAGGTAATTTAGTTGTTTATTTCTCAAGTGGGATGCCTCAACGATTGAATGATGTTTGCTTTACAGTTCACTCAAACTTCTAATCTCAAATTATAACATTTTAATTACATGATTGAATGATGTTTTGCTTTACAGATCATTCAAACTTCTAATTGTTAGGATGCTGGCATGCAAACCCGATAAGATAAAAGATAAGAGACCGGATAAAATGAGAAATGGAATACACAAGAATTTACGTGGTTCACCCAATTGGGCTACGTCCACAAACAAGTATAGAAGGATTTTACTAAGTAAT